TCTGAATATTTTTCCTTTTTCATGATGGACTGAAACACGAATTGCAATCATGAAAATGACTTTAAAAGGGCAGAGAAAGTCAGGATTTTCATATGGATCCACATGTAATATCATTATCATGTTCTTTGGGGAAATCATGGCTTTACCTTTTTTTTTTCTTTAATTTTTAATGAACATTTACAGAGATTTTGGATTTCCATTCATGCATTGTTGCAAGGTTTTACTTTTTAGGAATATCTTCTAATGCTGTGTCCTGCTCTGGGAGAAAGACACATCAGGACCAAAGACCCCCAAAATAGAAAGGACATGAGTCAGCCTGTCTCTGTGACTAGATCTGATTCATTGATCTCAGTTGGCTGTTGATGCAGACACAGGGGGAAAAATAATCCTCTAAGTGGATGACTTTAACACAGTGAAAGTTATGTTATTGTACTTTGAGAGGCAAGCAATGGTACCAGTTTTAGGAGGAAAAAACCCCCTTCTGTCAGCTCTGAAAAAGAATTTTTCCCCCCTCCTTTTCATGTCATCAACCTACTTGGGGATCTCCATGTGTTCATTCTTACTCAAAGGAATTTAAAAGAATAAAAAGTTGGTGATTGTCTCTCTGCTTGTGTCTCTCTCTGCAGACCAAGGATTCCTACCCTGGAACCCTCTTAATAAAGCTTCTTTAGCTTCCAAAAACAAATAATAATAGAAAGTTGTAAATGAATATTCATTTCCATATTGTGGCTTTCTTCCATCTTATCTGCAAATGATCTCATTTTTGGTTTAAGATGGATCCAAAGGTTGACATTCTTCTTAGGAAGTCAAACCACAATCCAAACCGACCCGGAATGACATTTAAAAATCATCTACATCGAAGGCTCATCTACAAAGGCTTTGTACAAAAGGAGCAGCTATATACAAAGTCCAGTCACTTTTGGAAGAATAATTTGAACGTGCTAAATTAAAACACCAAGCCAAACACGGATACAAAAGAAGAAATATCCTTTGGACACAGACAAATGATGTTTCAATAAAATTATAATTGTGATCTTCATAAACATTGACAGAGAAGTTAGATTTTCATGCATTCATTGTTGCACCTTTCCCCCCTTGTCCTCCCTTCCCCATCTCATGTTACTTAAAAAGGTTCAGTTAAATTGTTTTTAAAAAATATTTTTAAATTATTTTTATAATTTATTAATGTAATAGTTTACTGAGACTTAGGGTTTCCAACCATTCAATGTAGCACTTTTCTCCCTGCTTATCCCCTCCTCCCAATTCACTCTTCTCTTTGAAAAGTAACTGTTGTGCTCGCTTCGGCAGCACATATACTAAAATTGGAAAAGTAACTCTTTCATTGTTATGCAATCCCTCCCCCAACTTTTCCTTTTTTTTAAAAAAAAAATTATTCATTGTTGCAGAAGAGATGGACAACATCTCATTATAAAAAAAAGTCACAATACTTCCAAAGGCAACAAAAAGAAGTTTTGTGTTTCCCAACAGTCTGTCTTATATATTTTTTTTCTACCTTCTTGTTTTCAGACATTCCCATTTTGAAATTATTTCTTCTATGTCATGGACTACATATGCCTCTATAGACAGAGATATATAATAAAAAGCATAAAGAATAATTTTTACAAGGCCTTCACGCACCAGCTAGCTACCTGCCTATAAATGGCCTTTCCTTCTGTTAGGATCAAATGAACACAAGGCATCCGACTCCATTCTCATCCAGGGACCAGACGGCTGCAAGGCACGTGATCCAAAGAGCAACAGAATAGCACACAAATTTCATTTTTTTGCAATTTTTTTTTTAAAATTTTGCATTGAATCATAGGATAGTGGTGGCATAGGGGTAATGGGAAAATGTCCAACAAAGAAAGAATGAAAAACAAAATATAGTTGTTTTTTTTAAAGGACAGGGGAACAGATGAGGGAGACAAGTGGGCAGGCATTTTAAGAATTCTACTGTGACAGGTATGACAACAGTCCAGACTAAGAGTGCATTGCAAAGGAGACCAGGGAAGGCAGGGCGGAAAAAAAGAGTTGACAATGTGTTACAATAAATGAATAAATATAAAAAATAGGATAAAATGCAAATTGGTAAATACAACACAGATTATGATTATGGTCCAAACTCAGTCACTATGCACAAAAAAAAAGGAAACAAAATGCTGTGAAAAATGATTAACACAATTTCCATATATTGTACTATTACCAGTTCGGGGGAGGGAGTCACTGTACAATAAGAATGGAACAGTATTGATAAAGGGAACAAACTGCTTTTGTATTTTCAAATAAAGTCTTTTATTTTAATTATGATTTTAATGAAAGTTTACAGAAAAGGCATCAAGCTCCTCTAAATCCAACTACAAGTTGAGTTAATTTTTTCCCCTTCTATCAAATATGATCACAGAATACAAAAAATATGTGAAATCACATTCACAAGGCTCTATGGACGGAAAGGTCATCAAGAGCCAGTGACTTAAAATAAATAAGAAGAAAACTATTTTGAAATGACATTGTGAACACAGGAGAAACAAATTAAGTACAGCCTGGTGTTAACAATGCAAAGTTCTCCTCTGTGTGAGAAATGAGCCGTCCAACACCAGCCGTCTCCATCACTCTGACATGGGCTATGAACAGGACTGAAGAGGATTCAAGAATATGCAACCTGTGGGTTCTTCTGTGGAGATCTCAATTTGGGGAAAGAAAGGAAGAAAACGGAAAGAAAAGGTCTTTCTTTCATCGCTTGGACGTGTCTATAGGTGAGTGGTGAGTTCTGCTCCAGGCGATGAAAAGGGAGAAAGGGAAAGATAGGAAAAGGAAGAAAGAAGAGGAAAAGATAGGAATGTAAAAGTCAAGAAAGGAAGGGAAAATAAGAGAAGCAAAAAGAGAGAAGAGAGAGAAAGAAACAGAGAGAGAAAGAGAGAGAAAGAAAGAAAGAGAAA